TTTCATGTAAAGGAGTAAGCAGGGAATCACAGGAGAATCCACGGCATATAGGGGGATATATTTTTATTAAATGGTTCTAGAAAAGCTCCACAAACAACTCCTCCTTGTCTCATCAACCACCCGGCTTGTTTGTTTGCTGTCTCGCTGTCGTCCTTCCAGATGCTCAGTTGACGTTGAACATGTGATTATGTAATATGACGTGGCTAGTGAATGACATTATGTAATATACTTGTGGCTAGTAACGGCTGGATTATATAATACATTTTAAAGTTGTGGCTGGTGGAGGAGATGTGGCGTCGAGCTGTGGCTGAAAATCTTCATCAAAGTTTTTTTTTCACCAAAAGATTAAAAATCATAAATCAATGTTGACGTTTTGATGGCCATTTAAAGGGGTGGCCATGGCCGGCTCCTGAAGAAGAGGAAGTGTGCTCGGGAGGTGGTAGTGCGACGGATAGCTGTGTCTTTCTTCTCTTTTGTTGTCTCCGATAGATATATGGATGGTTCAGCCACAAGGCGATGCACACTTAAGCAGCAATATTTGATACCCCAAGCTGCTACCTATCTACGCATGAAACCACATACATTGAAAGCCCTCTGAGAGAGCTAACGATGACTCCTACGCCGTGGGAATGATTCTATATTTGGTATGTACTGGTTATTGTTACTATAATTATCATTTTTCTACTGCAGGTCTTTGGCTTTCCATCTCACTTTAATGTATGTTTATCTTTGATTCTCATATCAATTCAGTGCCATTTTTACAAACTCCTGTTGTATAGCGCATATACATAACATATATTTGCATATTACATATTGACATAGGTTCTCTATATATAGGTTCCCATGGCTGGATGGCATTGCCGGTTTAGCACACTTCATGCGCCGGTATCCCTTACCACGTTTCAGAAGGCGTTTCTATTTTAGCCCCCTACCCTGGTGGGCTTATGGTGGGTAAACGCCTATGAGGAACCTCCAGAGGCTCCTTAAGAGTTCTTCAATGCCTTGCCGGACGATTGAACGCATTTAATAATCCGGGGTATACGGCATTTGCCCATTCTGGCCACACCTGTGCCGCCCACTGCATCCGCATGAAGAATACATTTTTAACAGCTGTCTGCTCTGGTATGCATTACTGCAAATTAGCCCGTATGTTGCTCACATGCTCACTATAATTAGGTACTCTCCATGCTTCTTCATTCAGATGGTTGGTTGACGGCGACGGATTGAATTTTTAAATTCCATAATGCACCTCAGCAAGCGCCGCCATCCACTTGAAGGAGACATCAATATCCAATGGTTCTGTCGGGGTTTGGTTAACTAATTCCTATTCGCACAAGATGCGAAAACACGGAGCGTATTCATATCAAGTCACCCTCCAACCCAGGCAAACAGTCACATATGTGTCCCGCTCTAAATACTCACGTATGTGGTTTGTGCGAAATCTGCAGCATCGACCAGATTACTCAACAATGCTACAAAATGGGTAGATATCTGGGCACGGCGTATTGTCCTGTGTACTCCCTGCATGTTTCTGCAAGTATGCATACACTTGTCCAAAATTGCCTGCCATTCTCCAGCGGGGCCCTGACTTGGTGAATTCTCTTCGAACGGCTTAACTACTCTTGCTCACCGCCAGCAGCCTCCACAGCACGGCATCGGACATCCCCAGGCCCATACTCAGATGCAGCAGAACTTGCATTTGATATTTGCAAAAGTTCTGCGTAAAATGCCTTGCGAGGTCTGCTGTGAAACGAACATGGTCCCGAACTAACATACGGCCTTGACCGAATTTCAAAATTCAGAATGAAGCTTGCGGCAATCTCCGACAGACAAACAGGCCTATCAACAATATTGGACCTACTACGGTGGGGATGTTGTATGTCATCGTCCGTTTTCCCGCGCCTTATCCTGTATATGAAGCGGCTCAAATTCTCTGCCTGAGGGCCTGGGCATGTGCACCGCCTCGAAAAAACTGGCATATACGGATGTACTTACGCAAAAACCCTGGGGTTGACTAGCTGTTTAGGATGTATCGACTCCTTGTTGGCTCCAGGGCCTCTCCCAGTCGTGCTAGGCTAGCTCCTTTCGAGGATATGCGCTGGGCTATGGTTCAGGAAATTACCAAAAGGAGGCTTTGGAACGGTAATATTCCACCTGCATGTGGTATTTAACCACTCAATCCGTGTATGTACCGTGGCTTAGACACAAGGTGCTCGGGCTTTACTCCTGTCCCCCGAAAGATAGCTATCTGCCGCCGCCGAAGCTTGATCACCCGTTTAGTACCGAAAGGACAGCACTCCAGCTACGAAGTAGCGCTACAACGAAACACAACGATGACGATACTGGTGAGAAGCGACTTGGTTGAAGTATGCGGGGCTTGCGGCTCAGCCTCAGGAGATGAACGTGGAAGTACTCTCATGGCAAACCCTCCGTACCAACGTGAGGACAAAAAATATGGGATTCTGACGGTGATTGTGACCTCTATGCGATTGATTTGGTGGCTGAATCGATTGGACGAGAGCGCTCCTTTTTTTAAAGGTCCACCAACATGGGCCCTGACCAACGCGGCTCTCCTGGCCTTAATTGAAATTACAGGGGTGGTCTTGGAAAATCGATTGGCTATCGCGGCAAGATTCGCATAGGCGCTAAATGCTTCTTGCAGAGCCAAGTATCTTCCGATTGGCTTTGAGCAGGGGGGAGAGCACGCCAAGGTCGAGGACGCATCTGCAAGAGATCACGATTATCAGCTCGACACTGCTGTTCCCGGAGAAGGAGTATCGTTCTACTACCCTTCTGGCAAAAATCATCGGTAGGGCAGAGCCTGACCGGCCAGTATCACTCAATCCCCCCCCTTTTCCCTTCCATCCGTCATCGTTGATTAGCAATAATTAACAATGCCCCCAGTTGCTTAGTGGCTGCATTTTGCGAGCTATGCCATTTTATTTCGTACCGTTCTTACATGGCCCTGTTGGCCTCTTGTGCAGGGTAGGGTACTTTTTATCCTGCACCTCGTTTCATAACAGGAAAATCCTGCTTCTGAGGAAGGGGGCTATGTTGGATACGGTAACCCTTGGTATAGGACTTGTCTCTCTACACACGGCGCTCGAGGGGAAGCAGCCCCTGCGGCCAAAATAGTTCTCCCTGGCCCTAGAAGACACAACGTCCGCCTCACCATCGGCGCTGAACACAGCCTCAAGCCTCCTTCTAGATGATGTCAAGATACTCGACTCACCAGCCACGCCTTGTCTTTTTGTCCCGGCCATCTCCACTGGCGCCTAACCTCCCTGGTCCTCGGTCAGGCCATGCGGTATTATTCTAAGGATTGCACATAATTTCCACGATAGAGATGTATCTTACTCAGTCCTACGGAGCCAGACCTCACCGAAAATCACATGTGATATCCCAAATAACCATGTACCCATGATGTTCACACGTTGACACCCGCAGCCTGAGCCCCATATACTGAACAGGTCGACCGCTGCCCGACCTGCGGGTCGCCTCACCTCACGTCGAACTCTATGCAGATTTATCTATTTCGAGGCTGTAATTGAGGCCGGAGCCTCGTCCAAACTCTTTGAGTCTCATCAGGGCCTCTAGACAGATTATTATCTTCGTACTATGTTGACACACTGACAGTTGACCAGAGGCTACGAGGTCTCTCAAGTTGGTCTAAACACTCATAAAAAAAAAAAAAAAACACAACAACAACAATTTTTCCCACAGTCTAGAACAACTGGGATTGAATAATCGATCGGCGATGATAAGACCACTCGCAGCCAAAACCTTGGGCTGCTTGGAGGACACGTTTGGACACCTGAAAGACTAACTTGTCATCACTAGCTATAATAAGCGTGACTACATGAGGATGCGGCAGGGAAATGAGTGAAAGTTTAGCTGTCCTGAGCCGTTGTGAGCCTCACCCCTGGGGAGTGTACAGAAAGCTGTGTTTTGATAGACGCCGCTCGCGTTACAAACCGACCAGTAACTCGCTTCCAAATGCCCCGCCTCGTCACATAACGACGAAATTTCCTGGATTAACCTTTATGTATGCGATTGTACTTCAGCGTGTCCACAACATATAGGAAAAATGGCCCCCAGGCCCGTACAAGTTTCGACCAAAAAGTAAGCTCTCTAGAGCGAACAACCACCAATATTCCGGGTCGCCATTTTCGCCCTTTGGCAGCCACACATCACGTTTGCTGTGGCTATCGACCCTCACAATCATCTTTTTGCTCCCTCAGTCCCCTTGTCCGCCTTTAATTCTCCCAGGGCTATGCCTCGGGATTTACAGAGTTGAGTGATAGGGGGCCAAGGATTAGATGCAAGCCCCAATCCAGTCACTCGGGTTCGATGGCCAGCATTTTGTCACCCAACCTCGACAAACCCTTGAGCGAAAATCAGCTTTGCTTTTTTACGCTCGTTTTTTTGCAATTCCTCTGAAAATATTTCCCTTGTTGGCCGGATGATGGCTGACACCTTGCAGTTGCACAGTCGTCTTCCCCCTGCTGCTCGCTTTCTATCATTTTCCTTTTCTTTCCTTTTTTTCACTCTTTTTTTCCTTTTTCCCATTGCTTCTCCACAAGGATTTGCATGCCTCAGTAGCCCGGAGAACCGCGACTTCATAGTATGCCGCTGCTACAATACGTTCATGGTCCAAACCAGAAAATCAGCCTTGGATTATGTGGGAGCACTCTCCAAGCCTGCGCTCTTGCAGCTTGCCTGATTTAGACAAGGTCACTTTGGTCCCTATGGCGTCGATCCTCTATTTTGGCTTGCACGCAGGCCTGACAGATATATATACATACATATATATACCATTATACTTTCCTGCGTTTGAATACCCTCTTCTCTCCCCAATTTAATAATACAGTGAAAACTTTCATAATACTTAAAAGACCCATGAAAACTCGGATGTCTTCATAGCTTGGATTCCTGTCGAGCAAGACAGACAACGCGCAGCCAACTCATACAACGCTTCCTCTCCTCGTTACGTTTCTACGATGCACCAACAATCCTCTAGTTACCCTACGACGCCCCAGACCTGCACTCAGACGGACTCAATCTCCCTTCAGTCTTCGTCAGCTACTGGCCTCGGGCTACTAAATTGCTCTCTTCCACCAGCTGGAACCTCAGCATCCATCTGCTCGCCATCCCAATCCATGCTTCAAGTCGCCCAAGGATGGCACGGAGAGCCAAGTGCCGGCCACTGCTTTCCGAACACCTCCTCTAGCATGGTTACCTATCCCATAATATCAATATACGACGGTCTACAGGTTGTTCCTAATGCATCAATCTCGTCCTTCGGTGTTCCAAGTACACATGTTGATACTTCTTCGGCCGGTTTCCTAAGTCCTGTTCCCTTGATGAAAGTCGAAAGCAGCTCAACTATCCAGTCCAACATCTATGCACCTGACATGTCGTCAAACTACGGGGTGTCCCCAAGCCCGACCCAGTCCCCACAGATTCTTAGTGAGGGTATGAGTGATGACTGGGAGATAATAGCAAACGATAACGCCGCAAAGCAAGCCTTCTTCAGCATGGAAGACCTTCCCTTATTCCATCAACAGATTAGTTCTCCTGTCCCTGCAAGACAGCCTCGTGAAGCAAACACCCCAGTTCTCACCTCAACTCCCATCCACAACCAGAGAAAGCCTCGTCGTTCCCCCCTGAGAACTTCAGACTGCAACAAGGTGGTAGGCAAACGAACTTCCGAACTTGACCTGTCATCTCCTGATATGAAAATGCCCCCAAAGAAAAAGAGATCACTAGATAATGGGAATGGGAAATACGAATGCGAACAGTGTGGAAGGCAGTTTACACGGAATTCAAACTGCAGATCACACATGAAGATACATGACCCCAACCGAAGATACCCTCATAAATGCACGATTGGTCAGTGTACCAACAAGTTTAGTCGCAAGACTGATCTTATCCGGCATATTGATAGCGTGAGTCCATAAAGAAGCAGTTCCCCTAATTCACTTGATGCTAACCAGCACTTCCCCCCTTCAGGTACATAAGAAGCTAAAACGGTTTGGCTGCGACCAGTGTGGGCATCGCTTTGCTCGACAGGATACGTTGCGACGGTAATATGATGTCCTCTATGTATACTGTGAATTCAATGCTAATAAGAGTAGACATCGGGAGGATGGTTGTCGAAGGCAACAACAGCACCGTCAAGCACTTCTGGAAAGGCAAAAACAACAAGAACAGCTACAGCAGCACCATCATCACCGCCAGCCAGCCTCTGTAACTGCACCAATGGCGCCATCAGGCCTGGATGCCAGTCAAGCCTACCCGATTGTCTCTATTCCCTATCACGAACCAATTACAGCATACACGACCCACCCCCAGCTACACGCAGGGCTTGTTAGACCGTACTTGAACTCCAGCAATGAAACCTTCCATGAATACATATGACTTAATATAATGGCAACTACATGTCAAACGATGCCGCCGAGTGACTCGAGAAAAAAAAAAAAAAAAAAAAGCAAGAACAGCCAGCAAGCCTTCGATTGGCCTCCCCTTCTGTTATTTTACATCCAAACATATAGAACGGTGCATTGGATGAGGACATACTCTTGTTCTACGTTCCTACTTCAGCTTACAAAAAAGGTGTATGCCGTGTTTTACTTTTTCTTTTTCGCTCTTTTTCTCCATTTTCTCTTTCTCACATATGCCGGCGCAACTTGTGGGGGTTATTATTATCATTCTTGTGTTAATCATGTTTTTTTTCTTTTCCCCCTTCTTCCCCATCTATGCATATTCTCCCCTCTACACGGCGAATACGGAGGTCTATTTCAGCTCATACCAAGAACGGTAAAGCAAGTTACCCTCCCGTCCTTCTGCTCTTCCCCACCACCTACTGCTAACTATAAATTTCTTTTTCCTTGGCCCCGGAGTTCAAGTAACTAGCCCCTGATCCACGATCTTCCCGCGGTGAATTTCTTTGGTGTTGGGAAAAAGAGGATTTACCATATCTGATTGATCGGTGTCTTTGTCCAAAGCGTCGATCAACAAACAAGCATTTCCATTTCCCTCCCATTTGGCCCCCTTCCGTGTTTTTCCTTTTCCCATGATTGGACGTCTATTAGCGCCAGACCCTTTTATCTACCCACATGTCAACCAGGAGTTATTGTTGGTTAAGAAGCGATAGGCTTGGAGAAGACGTTGCTGTGTGCGGGGAAAAGGTGACGGCCCCCTTTTCGCTTCCTCTTGTTTTCATTTTTTTTTTTTTTTATTTTTTCATTTTCTTTTCCTCACTCCCCTTGATGTCCTATTAAGCGGGAAGAGAGCAAGAACCAGGACCCACCAGGTGATGGGTCGAAGCATGTCTACGTTTCCATAGGATAGCAACTAACGAGAGTAAGCGCCGGCCGTTGACTCTAGCAAATACATATATGCAATGGAATTATTAATTGCGTGGGTTCGCTCTCCGTACTCGTAGCTGCTGATTCTTGCCCTACCACCCACCCTTACTGACTTCTGCCCTACGCTTATGCATGCGCTGTCTTGTGTCGAGTTGTTTGATTGACAGTTCTTATTCATCCCAGACAAAGATTGCTTAGCCGCCTGATACCCGGATCGGGACTAGCTCAGGGCCCAGGCCCCACTTCCTTCTAGAACTTTTCCATGCAGGAAGGAAGGCCCCACTTAACTTTAATTTCTTTATTTTTATTTTGAGTTCTTGGCTCTTTCCGGCCGTCCGTGCGTTTCCTCCTTCCTTTCTTCAACGATGAAACAAGATCATCTTTTTTGGAAGGAGCAACAACGACAACAAAACAATAACAACAAAAAGTGATAGACGGTGGCTGTTTGGGCTTTGAAATCGTTTATGAGCGTGCAGCCTTTCTTCGCTATTTTTATTATCTTTCTCTGTATGGAGTAGATAGACTGTCTTGGAGGGGGTTTGCTGGTGTTTGACTAGTCGCCAGCCTACCCACTCTCTTGCATCAAGCGTAAAGGGGGCAGGTAATGATAAGTAACCATGTCTATCTACTCTCAAGTGTATGTATATCCAACAGTTATCAATCATGCATACAACACGGCCGAGTATGCAAGACTCTGCACCCCGTAACTAATCTAGTCAGTATTTTCCTCCTTGCTCTCTCTTGATCCCCTTTGCATTCCTGAGTGCCCTCGCTCAGCCCGTTTGGCAACGCTATTCCAATTGCAGCCAGTCCTTGCATAAGCCTTATGGCCGATTGCATATCCTGGATATCATCGCCTCTCTTTACTTTTTCCCCCCTTGGGCCTTACCACTGTTTTCTTATGAAGAAAAAGACTCTGGGACGAATGAAGGCTTATCGGGACCCTCCGACGTGTCGATCTATCTCCCAGATGGTTTGTTCGAGGGAATTTAGATTCGGACACCTTCCTTTGGTACATGAATTGCTTACTTTTGCTTGCTTCTTCTGACTTGTTGACTTGCTTACCTCATACTCGATTCCTTCTATATACTGTTCTGGAAGAAGCTCGCCTTCAGGCCAGTTTGACATGATGATCGCTTGCTGTCCGTCTGGGCTACAGCATGCATCATCCTCTCGTAGTTGTTGCATCAGCCTAAGGAGAATGAATGCATTAGCTAACCATTAGGTATATATCAACACGATTATACCAGAACCTGTTTGTCGGGCCGAGCTTATGGCCCCCTCTCTTTGACCCTCCTTCACGGCTTGAGGAAAGGGGACTACCCGGGAATCCACTTCGCTTCCCGTTTGCGTGCAGAACTGAAGAGCAAGATGCGGGTAGCGTTGCCTGAGGGTAGTTAGTGGAAATACGGAGTAGTAATAATTGGGTAGGAGTCCATGGGGGCCTAAACTCCCGAATAACACCAGTGTTTAGCCCCAGCTTGTGCCCTCTAGTGACTGATGCTTTTGTCTTAGCGCCTACTTTGTGAGTCTCATGTTATTTTATTGTTCGATTCCCCTTCTCGAAAGAGACTATGCGAGTAGCAAGCCCATCGTCAAAGCCAGATGGAAGGGATTGGCAGTGAAGGTGCAGGAAGAAGATCTGCTTCCACCGACTACTGCTGTGCGATGTTCTACCGACTGGATTGAATTCCGGTTATCTGGTGTCTAGGGACTCCAGATCATCCTCTGCATATACAGCGGAGCTACCCTCTCGCGTTTGGCCAATTATTCGTCTTCCATAGATGTTGTAACAGCCAACTTTAACCCAAGGCTTGCCAAACGGAGACCCTGCTGCATATAACCCTTTCTACCCCTGCGTACGGGATAGATCGGCTGTTCATTCAAAGGGTTCGTTCCCGGGGTTTGGTTTTTTTTTTTAGTCTTAGCTGATCGACCAGAATGAAGTCATCTGCCAGCAGACAAGGCCTAGGGCAACCAACACCTCGATTCATGTCTGAAGCCTAATGATGACCAGATCAACTTATCCGTTTGTTCTTGCACTTGACGATGCAAGTAACCTGACCGGTAACAATTGTTCATACTGTATCAGAACCGAAGTCATGCATATTGGTGATCGGTAAATGCTCGGACTTTAGCCGTCTGTAATCAAACTGTCAAACTGCAAAACCCAACGCCATTTGCATCTTGGTTCTAAAATGGTTACAAAGCCTAGTTAGCGGCAAGTTGCAGACTGCTGAAGAGTCAATTGCAGCATCGTATAGCATGGATCCGGTGTCATGCATTCTCCTGGTGCGAGTCCCAACCTCCAACATCAAGCTTGCAGCTTTCCCCCCCCTACCAAGTTCCTGCTTGCTTCCGTGACGATGTCTCTGATCCCATGTACTTCGAGCTGTATTCGTATAGGCTTGAAAACTTAGCTGGAGGGGCCGTCCGGCAAACTAACTAGTTAATGGTTATCTGAGCTGACCCCTGAACCATGCGGCGTAAGTATAGGCGGCAGTCAACCGTTCGATATCAGCACCCGCAGGCCAGGAGAGGCCCGAAGATGCCACGCCGATAGCCCGTCGAGCCCGTCAACAGCTCTCCCTTGCCGTTGGGGTCTGAAGCTAGCAGCGCATCCTGGAGATGAGCTTGGTGATGACGATAAACCTGGTAGTTAACTAGTTATCGGCGACTTCGACACCACCCCCATCCATGCATGCCATCACCCAGAGAAACGAAAAGAGGGCAAAAAAAAAGACACTCCGGGGGTCTTTGCCCTCTACTTCACTGCTAGTTAGTGACTGGCTGCCTTGCGACGGCGGCGCGGAGGATGATGGAAGTGTTCAGTCTTCGTTCGGCGGGAGCAAAAATAACTAAAGCGCCTTCTGGGGGATTTCAATCTGACCCGCCGGCGCTTTTACCCCACCTGCGCTGCCTGAGTTCAACTAACACGCTGACTCGCAGGAATAAAACTAGAATATTTCGATATGGGCGTCGCTGAAATTTGCGCCAGACAGTCGAGCATCTCCCCCTTTTCAACATCCTGCCCCTCTCTATACGCCGCTTTCTACTCGTTCTGCTGCTCTGGACTCGCCGTCATCTGAATATCTGGTGATTTTGCTGCACTGGGATCCCGTTACCTGCGCTGTTTGACATCAAACCTGCCTCTTCTTCCTCCTCCTCTCTCGTCTCTCCCCGTTCCACACTGAGAGCTCTACCGGTCATCGCCATGTCGACTACAGCCGGTGTAACGGAGGCCATCACGACGGCGAACGTTGCGACGCTGTTCCCCGATGTCGATACTCAGTTCGGCGGCGCCAGCTCTGCTCGAGTGGGCGGAGAACTCGACGGCTACAACGAGGACCAGGTCAAGCTGATGGACGAGATGTGCATCGTCGTGGACACAGATGACAAGCCGATTGCGTCTGGCAGCAAGAAGACCTGTACGTTGCGATCTATGTACATGCATATGACATATTTTGGGGCTACGAAGACCAGTCCGATCTGTTGAACCAAGCTAACCACTGTGTTGTACGTGCTACATAGGCCATCTGATGACCAACATCGGCCGTGGGCTGCTCCATCGTGCGTTCTCCGTCTTCCTCTTCGACTCGCAGAACCGTCTTTTGCTCCAGCAGCGTGCCACGGAGAAGATCACTTTCCCAGACCTATGGACCAACACCTGCTGCTCTCACCCCCTTGCCATTCCCAGCGAGATGGAGGCTAGCGGAGCAGGTCTCAGCCAGGCTGTGACGGGTGCCCGCACCGCTGCCAGGAGGAAACTGGACCAGGAGCTGGGGATAAAGGAGGCCCAGGTCCCGGCGGAGAAGTTCGAGTTCCTTACTCGAATTCACTACCTTGCTCCTAGCGGTGACGATGGGAAATGGGGAGAACATGAGGGTGAGTTGGGTTCTTTTCCTGTTCCTGCTTCTTATATGGAGAAACCACCTGTCAACAACACGGGATGGCTAACGGTTCATCACAGTTGATTATATCCTTTTCATCAAGGCTGACGTCGACCTGAACCCCAACCCCAACGAGGTCCGTGATGTCAAGTATGTCACTCCCGACGAGCTAAAGGCAATGTTCAAGGACCCGAGTGCCAAGTTCACTCCATGGTTCAAGCTCATCTGCGACGACAAGCTGTTTGAGTGGTGGGAGAACTTTGGATCTGACTCTTTCAAGAAATACACCAACGACGAGAAGATATGTAGAATGTAGTTAGGTAGGGGAAGGGACGCATATATTGACCGGTTGCTGAAAAATGTTCAGGTTATTAATTCAAAAGAACTGATTGATGGATATGAAATGTATGCTCTGTCAAGACTCAACGTCATAGCGAAATGAAAATATATATCTGATTAAAAAAAAAAAAAAAAAGTAACCCCGGGAGCAAAAAAAGAATGTTATGTCCACAAACCTTGGTAGAGCATGCTAAACCGCGTAAAAGAAAATGTAATGAATGCATGGACAACACGCCTGCAAATGATGGTATAATGCAAGTTTTAGGGACGTTGCCTAAATGACGGGTATCAAAGAGAAGCAATGCAAATGTCGTGTAAACCAAATATATCCATCCAGACTCCTGCAAGCAGATTGAGACCCTAAGTAGACATGGTTCTGTTGTATATAGATATTAGCCAAGCGAGGTTGTGGTAGTAAGATGGGGCGGGTGAGCAGGTATAAAAAAGTGTCGAACGCTACCTCCTGTTAGTACTCAAAAAGAGAACGCAGGTTCCGATAATAACAATAGCGACGATGCAGAAGATAACCTGTGTCTTCCAGCCACTCTGTACCAGCGCAGCACGCCGACTATACTTGGCCAGCGTGTGAATGTAGTTTGCAACTCCGCTGATTATGGTCCCGATAGAGAGCACCCAGAACAGTATCCCCAGCGGGAGAGCGTAGTTACGCTCCAGGGCCGTCGGCTGGGCTCGGAGATGGAAGGATAGGACGATAGCACTCGACACTATCGAGAGGTACATGGATAGCCGGAGCCATGCTAGGAACGTCCGCTCGTTGGCACAGTGGTCTCGTGCATCTGATGCGCTGTTCTCCAGCAATAGGGCCCCGAAGATAGGCTGTGTAAAGACCACCCTCTTCTTCGACGCTACCTGTCTGCCAGCCACGTAGGTTATATATATTAGCATGCAGTCGTCACGATCCCTATCCAAGGATCAAGCAGGGATGAGATGACTCTTGAGCTAGAGTATCGGGAAGTTCAAGCGGTCGATACGAACTTGGTGACGTTCACTGGTTTGATGCGGAACGGATTCGATAGCCGGCCAAAGGGGTTGCCGGAAGGCTCATCCTCGACGTCGACCTCCGGGGCATGCGACATCGTCTTGATCATTATCTCCTTTTGCTCGCTCTCTGTCCGCTCTTCTTGTTTTCCCCCCCGTCGACTCTTGATATCGTCGTCGTCGTCGCCGTCGTCTTTTACTTCGCAGTTCTTTATTTTGGCCTCAAAAAAAAGGACGTCACGGGATCTGCGTCATGTGACTGTTTGCTTGTACTTTCCTCATCGGGAAACCTCAACACCATCGAGTATTTTTTTTTGATTTTGATTTTGATGTCAACCAGAAGGAAAAAAACAACAACCGGCAACGCAGCAGCAGCAGCAGCAGCAGGGAAGAGCTTCGGTTCCTCATGGACGCATGTAGGAGAGAGGAGATGCTGGGTACGACCTGGATCTCGAGACTGGGTTTCTTGGAGGAGCTCGGATAATTGCTTTTTCTCTGTTCCTTTTTTTACTTCGAGCTGAAGACTCAATTCCCTCCGGCTTGAAGAGCACGTCCTTTCTCTCTGCCATCCATTCCGTTTGCCTGCATATCAAACAGAAGGTTGTCAATTGCAGCCTGCGCAGCCAGAGCCCTCAGAATGCCGTCGCCAGCCCAAAATATTCCCCCACGGGCAACTGATATCGAGGGCCAGCTCTCTGGCACCTCCCCACTAGCTAGAACGGTTAGCGGCTCGCACTCCCTAGCAGGCTCATACCGGAGAACCGGCTTCTTCACCATGGGCGGTGCTCGAGGGACAGTCGTGCCGCATGCCCACGAAGCAGACAGCCTGACGGATGCAGAACGGGAACGGGCTCGAGAAGAGGAACGGACTCTGCTGGAAGACAATGCCATCTCATGCGCAGCAAGCAAGACAAAGAGAGGATCGGGCCAGGGGCCATCTACCGAACCAACCGAGACGACCTCGCTGCTAGGGAACGGTCAAGATGCTTCTGCTAATGCAGGAGATGCTTCCGCTGATGCTATCATTGACCAGAAGTGGGATGATGCGGTGATGGCCGGATTGATCAAGACGACATGGTCGAGGGAGGCAAAAGTGTTGGTGCAATACAGTGCTCCTCTGATATTCAGCTTTCTCCTCCAGTACTCCCTTACCATTGCCAGTATATTTACCGTCGGTCACCTTGGCAAGGTTGAGCTGGCCGCCGTCAGCTTGGCCAGTATGACGGCCAATATCAGTGGCTATGCGGTCTATCAAGGTCTCGCAACCAGCCTGGATACCCTCTGTGCTCAGGCGTATGGCTCTGGAAACAAGAAACTCGTTGGTCTCCAGACCCAGAGAATGGTCTTTTTCCTGTGGACTATGACCATTCCGATTGGCATATTCTGGTTCTTCGCCGGTCACGTCCTGAAGGCTATTGTCCCTAACCAGGAGGTAGCCGAGCTTGCTGCTCTATATTTGAAAGTAGCCATCCTCGGAGCTCCTGGATATGCACTTTTTGAAGCATCCAAACGATATGTGCAGGCTCAGGGTCTATTCTCTGCCTCACTCTACGTTCTTCTAATCGGTGCTCCAGCCAATGCATTTATGAACTGGTTCTTCGTTTGGGTATTGCCTGCCCCCTTTTACTCTCTTTTAATTCCTCAGTTGCATTTAACTGACTTTCTACTTTAGAAATTGGAAATGGGTTTCGTCGGTGCCCCTGTTGCGGTTATCGTTTCGGATAACCTTCTTCCAATTCTTCTATTTATTTATGTCTACTTCTTTGCTGGCATGGAATGCTGGAACGGGTTTACTTATCGAGCATTCCAAAACTGGGGCCCTATGGTCCGACTTGCCCTACCTGGCTTCCTCATGATGGAAGCAGAGGTTCTCGCATTCGAGATTCTCACTCTGGCAGCCGCCTACCTTGGTACTACTACTCTTGCAGCCCAGTCCGTCCTTGCAACCATCGCCGGTATCATGTTCCAGATTCCTTTCCCGCTATCCATTGCTGGAAGCACTCGGATTGCAAATTTCATTGGCGCTTCCCTTCCCGATGCCGCCCGTGTTGCTGCCAAGGTCAACATGAGCGCTGCAATCATTGTGGGCATCATCAACGTCACTCTCCTCTCTACCCTTCGCTTCTACATTCCTGCCTTATTTACCTCGGACGAGGATGTGATTGAGCTAATCGCAGCAGTCCTCCCACTCTGTGCCTCCTTCCAACTCTTTGATGCCTTTGCAACCAATTGTAACGGTGTGCTCCGTGGCCTTGGAAGGCAGTCCATCGGAGGATACACCCAGCTCTTCTGCTACTATGTTATTGCGCTCCCCATTGGTATGGCCACCGCATTCGGACTACACTGGAATCTCTGGGGTCTATGGGGCGGTGTTGCCATTGGCCTTTTCCTTGTTGGCCTGATCGAAGGCATATTCTTGACCCAAACGAGCTGGGAGCATGCCGTTACCGGAGCTCAAAAACGAAACGAAGAAGTCTGATCCAAACAAGGTATCAAACTCGGTTTCCTTGAATTTGTTGTGATTTTCTTCGTATATACCATTTGGACTCGTAAATATCCCTAATATTGTACCATGTTTTCTGCGGTATATATCCCGTTCCAGATCCTCTTCGGTTTCTATACCCATTCACAAAAATCTTCATCACACTATGTATTCTTTTCAATTGCATTTCAACCTTTGGGTGGTGACAACTGTCTCTACGTGAGCATTGGCCCAGCGGATGGTGGCACATATCATTACAGCCTGTGTTTCAGTTTAACTATGGTTATATTCAGAAAAGCCCGATCTAGTGTATTTTTTATTTACTTATCAGCATGCTATCCGTCTGAAGAAGAATAAGGAAAACACAGAACTTCAACCATAGCACAACAGTATCAGCGTCTCAAACACCCCTTAAAACTCCAATATCAAGACCGTACACTCTCACATTCGACCCTTGTAAATCCCTTGTCCCAAAAATGCGATGCACCCTACTATCCCAACACTTTCATTTTCTTTTTCTTCTTCCCTTCTTTATCACCACCTTTCCTACCTTTTTGCCAGTCTCTCCAGCTCCCAATACGGGTGTCCCTGGACTCTTCCCACGCCTTCTCCTCATCTCGTTTTCGCTTTCGTGCCTCTAACTCTTCCTCTTCCCTCTTCTTCTCCCTTCCTTCCTCTTGCATCCTACCCTTCAGCTGTCTCCGACGCCTTGCCTCTTCCTCCAACAAGACAAACACAGTTTTCTTTCTCCATTCCTCTTTGAATGCTTCCGTCTTAAGCTCCGGTGAATCGAGCGTATATTTGTGTTCTCTTATTAGCAACCGTCGCGCGTCCGCTATACACTCGTCGAGATGTGCTCGTTGTTTTTCATCGAGTAGAGCTGTCTGCGCCTTTTTAAGCCTGTCAAATGCATCTGGCGCAGCTGGGTTGGAAGTTTTGTCAGGATGGATAAGTAGAGACTTTTTCCGGTATTGGACTTTTATATCAGAGTCGGGCACGCCGGGCTGTAGGTCGAGAACCGCGTAGCTATTAGCCGTGTCCGTCAGCTTCGTTCTCAGACAGTAAATATACGGTCAGAATTAAGCAGGATACCACATACGCATCGAGTTGGAAGGCCTTTCTTATACGATCGATCTCTGCATCCTATGTTGGGGTGCACCAGTTAGCTGTGGAGCGGTTTAGTTGGAGCTGGCTATCTAGCCGTACCTTGGTGAACTCAGAAGCTTCCTTCTCTAGGGAATTCAGCGAATCAAGAGCATCAAGATCGTCATCGGCAGCCATATTCTCGTGTGATTCTGCGTTGATACCCAAGTGTGCCGTATCTGCCTAGATTCCTCTCTCCTTCAATAATGGTTACTTCAATGCGGCTTGGTTGGTCTCGACGTTGAGTTTCGCTTTACGCGATATTTCTTATCGATAAGATGACTAAGCAGCGCAGTAGCCTTTTTTTTTTTTTTTTAGAAAGCAAAAAGTTCGAGATGGAGAACAAGCAGAGACGAAGACAAAAGACGAAACGAACGAGTTGGATAATACTCTAGGCGGTTCAGCGATGGCGAAGGATCACTCGTCACGGAACGGGAAGCCGTCGACCAAACCGACTCGCCAGAATCCTCGAATACTGAAACGAAAGAGGAACGAAGACGACATAGCGTCGCTCAAACAGCGAGTTGCAGAGCTTGATACCAAAGCTGTGATTGAGAGCTTCACGGACCTTCCACTCTCTGAGCCGACAAGGCTGGGTCTCTCTGCCTCTCATTTTAAGGAATTGACAGATATTCAATCCCGCGCGATTCCCCATGCGCTACAAGGACGAGACATACTCGGTGCCGCCAAAACGGGGAGCGGGAAGACCCTGGCATTCCTCGTCCCGGTGTTAGAAAACCTATATCGAAAACAATGGACGGAATACGATGGATTGGGGGCGCTGATAATATCGCCAACTCGCGAATTGGCTATCCAGATATTTGAAGTTTTGCGGAAAATTGGTCGATATCATACATTCTCGGCGGGCCTTGTTATCGGAGGGAAAAGTCTACAGGAGGAGCAAGAGCGTCTGGGGAGGATGAATATTCTTGTGTGTACTCCTGGACGTATGCTACAGCACATGGACCAGACAGCGGCATTCGATACGGGTAATATACAAATGTTGGTGCTGGACGAGGCGGATCGCATTATGGACATGGGATTCCAAAGCACAGTAGATGCGATTGTGGAACATCTCCCCAAGGAGCGACAGACGATGTTATTTAGCGCCACACAGACGAAGAAAGTGTCTGACCTTGCTCGGCTGAGCTTACAGGATCCAGAGTACATTTCTGTGCATCAGACTGCTTCAAGTGCGACGCCGTCTACTCTACAGCAGCATTATGTTGTAACACCCTTGCCCGACAAGTTGGATACCCTATGGAGCTTTATCCGAAGCAGTTTGAAATCCAAGATTATCGTCTTCTTTTCTTCAAGTAAGGAGGTCCGTTTCGTCTACGAGGCCTTTAGACAAATGCAACCTGGAATACCACTTCTACATCTTCATGGCCGGCAGAAGCAAGGCGCACGGCTTGATATCACGCATAAGTTTTCTGCTTCAAAGAATTCGTGTCTGTTTGCTACAGACGTGGTGGCAAGAGGACTTGACTTTCCGGCGGTCGACTGGGTCATTCAGCTGGATTGCCCCGAAGATTCGGATACATACATACACCGGGTTGGGAGGACCGCACGGTATGAGCGAAATGGACGAGCGGTGCTATTTCTTGATCCTAGTGAGGAAATAGGTATGCTCTCTCGCCTGGAGCAGAAAAAGATACCAATTGAAAAGATAAATATCCGGGCCAACAAGCAGCAGAGCATAAAACACCAGCTGCAAAACATGTGTTTCAAAGATCCGCAGCTCAAATATCTCGGGCAGAAGGCATTTACCTCTTATGTCAAGTCAATACACATCCAAAAGGATAAGGAGGTGTTTGACGTGAAGGCGCTTCCACTAGAAGAATATGCGGCTAGCTTGGGCCTTCCCGGTGCGCCGCGCATCAAATTTATCAAGGGAGAGGATACCAAGTCATTGAAGAATGCTCCTCGGCGGCTACAGGTTGTTTCGAGCGATGAGGATGACGACGAAGATGAGATTGCTGAAGGCAAAAAGAAGAAAGTCAAGGAGCCTGAAGTACGGACCAAGTATGATAGGATGTTTGAGAGGAAAAATCAAGACGTGTTCACCGAACATTATACCAAACTTATATACGATGAAGAGGCAGGTGATAAGGACGGTGGTAAGGCAAACGATGCTACTAATGGTGATGACGATTTCCTTGCAGTGAAACGGAGGTACGAAGTTGAGGACAACGAGGAGCTTGATGGCCAATCTCACAATGATTCTGGTATACAAGTGAAGGAAGCAGCTGGAGGTGTTCGAGCAGTGCATATTGACGGCCGAGCGCCGCTCCTCATCGACTCAAACCGGCGAGAGAAGCTTCTACAATCTAAGAAGAAGCTCCTTAAGTACAAGAATCCTGGCAAGAAGCTAGTCTACGATGATGATGGCAATGCTCATGAAATCTATGAACTGGAGAATGAAGAAGATTTCAAGAAACGAGGAGATGCAGCAGAGCAGAGAGCCAAGTTCCTCGAGCTCGAGACTGAGCGAGCACGGCTGGCAGATATTCGTGACAAAGAGATTGCCAAGCAGAAGAAGCGGGAAAAGAAAGAACAGCGTCGGGCGAAAGCGAGGGCAGAGCGAGAGGCTGCTGCGGAGGATGGCGACGGCCCGGTTGCATACCTGGCGCCGTATGAAGGAGCCGAGGGAGAAGGAGGCGATGTTATGGAAGATGAAAGGGAAGAGAATGAGACCAGGCCTCCTAGCAAGAAACAGAAGAAGGCCCGAGACGACCACCATGATACCAGCGACAGGAAGGAGAAGAAGAAGGGTACCAAAACCACCTTTGACGAGCCAGCTGAGATGCAGACATTGGAGGACCTGGAAGCTTTTGCCAGCGGGTTACTTGGATAGTCAGTTTTGTCTTCTGCTTTGTTCCTTTCTTGCATGCTGGGCATTTGGGATGCGTCAGGGAGCCATATGGATGTAGTGTCTTCTATACCCATTAGTAAATAGAACATTCCATTGTGGCCTTTTGGACTTGTAGTTGGTGATAACTTTGGCCGATATCTTGCGCGGCGCCAGAATCGCAACACTACGGCCTGGCCATCTAAACCTGAACAAAAATGACGACGGTCAACTCTTGCGCTACAACTACTAAAATATATTCTCCGCCGTTACATCGTATTCCGTTGCGCCTTTGCGGGGTTATCCAGCTGGACGGCCTGGGGCAAGGGATGTCTCGGTATATCGACCAGGATTGTACGAAGAGCCCTGTCCTGGATGTTCTCCTTTCCACCACTCACACCGAGCCAGAGAGCAGCTAAAGGACCAGCAGGATGCCTTCCGGGCTCCAGGATGCCATCTCTCCCGCCCTCGTCGGACCCAACCGGCCTCTCCCAGCTGTTTTCCGTGTCGAGGTCTGACTCTCAGGCCAAGCCGCTGGCCCAGCAGCTAGTTTAGGGGCACTTGGAGATCGAGTCAACTCGACATCCTCTCGCTATCTCTCGTGCTTGGCTTAATAATATTAGAAACTTCCCGTCTGTAAGCTCTCCGCCTGGTTTCTGGTTCGCTGGGAATTCTGGAGACTTGCGGACAAGGTCCAGGGCACGCAATCGTTATAAGCACCAAATTTTCTTCGCCACCCGCTTTTCCTCTCGAGAATGGCTGAACTATGGGCATACATGGCATGTCCGAGAGAGAAGCATAAGATATAGCTGACTGTGTTGTTCGTCTCTATCTCGGGCTTGGTATGCGCTGGTATCGAGCGGCTGACCGGGTACGGGCCGTTGACTCTTCTTTCGGCTGTTGGATTGTTAGTTATATAAAGGCAGTCGGTCCGTCCACCTGCTCGGGCTGCCCGTCTTTTGTCTAGACCCAAAGTAGAACAGACAAGATGGCGTCCTTAAACGTGCAGGACGAGATCAAGCCTCCGGCTACGATTGAGAGCCGCGATGTGGAAAAGTCGATGCCCCCAGAAGCAGAGAAGCCTGATGGTGCCCCGATAGTGGTCTCGGACAAGCTTGCGCGCCAGCTCTCGGCCCGCCAGGTGCAGATGATTGCGATTGCAGGCACTATTGGGACGGGACTGTTCTTGGGAACGGGCAAATCTCTGGCTACTGGAGGGCCAGCGTCGATGTTGATATCATATTCCATTGTGGGAGCCATTGTCTTCATCACCATGCTGTCTCTCGGCGAGATGGCCACTTTTATACCTATTGCCGGATCTTTCTGTACATATGCCGGGTAAGCTCTCGTTTATACTCATGTTTATGCGTGGATGCACTGCTAACTGGCTTACAGGCGCTTCGTGGATGATGCTTTTGGCTTTGCTCTGACCTGGAACTACTGGTTCAATGATGCTGTTTCAACAGCGGCCTATTTAGTCGCCCTACAGCTTCTGCTGAAGTACTGGACGGATTCCTTTCCGGGATGGGCGTTCAGTCTCATATTTCTCTTCGTTCTGGTCGGACTGAATATCGTGTCAGTCAGGGCATACGGTGAGGTATGTATATGCTCGGTTTATCTGTAAAATCATAAGTATAATAAACTAAGCTAACACCTGCATAGATGGAATATATCCTCAGTTTGCTCAAAGTCGTCACCATAGTTGTAAGTGGCGCCTCCCTATATACCAACTGGCCAATCTTAGCAAAAAATACTGACTTAGTACAACTTCAGATATTTATTATTCTTGGAATTGCTGTCAACTGTGGCGGTAACGTCGACCACCAATACATTGGTGGCAGCTTCTTCCTCAAAGGAGATGCGCCCTTCGTTGGCGGAATTGGTGGCTTTGCCTCCGTATTCGTCACGGCCTCATTCGCATAGTAAGTGTTTGCAGTTACACTGATAATCTCTATCTATCATATATCTCTGCCTCCGTTGTTTTTCTTTTGCCTCACATATGCTTACCGGTTGGCCAGCGGCGGAACGGAGTCCATTGCCATCACTGCCGGAGAGACGAAGGACCCCACGCGCAACATGCCGAGGGTGATTCGCAACGTCTTCTGGCGAATCCTCATCTTCTATATCCTAGCCATCCTCATGATTGGCCTAAATGTGCCATACGACTATCCAGAGCTGACCACCAAGGACACCCGGACCTCCCCCTTTACCATCGTTTTCCAGCAGGCAGGCAGCCGTATTGCCGGCAGCTTCATTAACGCTGTCATCGTCACTAGCGTCCTCTCGGCTGGTAACCATGCACTGTTCGCTGGCACAAGATTGCTCTACACCCTCGCTGTTAATGGCCACGGCCCTGCTATCTTTGGGAAGCTTAATAGATGGAAGACCCCGTGGATTGCTGTCATAGGCACATCTGCCATTAGTGGCCTTTGCTTTGGTGCAAGTTATATCGGTGCTGGCCAGCTTTGGACTTGGCTGCAGAAGTAAGTTGCTCCAATTCTTTCATCCCAATATATCATATTCCCGCCCGCTTCCCCCCTTCTTTCCTGCTATATTCCCTCAGTAAATCATACTAAATTTTTCCCTCTCTGTACAGCATCGTTGGTGTATCCAACCAAATCTCCTGGATGGCTATTGGATATTCCTCTCTTCGTTTTCGCCAGGCCGTCCGCATGCAAAACCTCGAGCATCTTCTCCCTTTCAAAAATTGGACCTACCCATGGGGACCCATCTTATCAATTGGGCTCAACGGTCTGCTCATCCTTGTTCAAGGATGGTCATCTTTTAGCCCAAAGTTCAAACCGGTTGACTTTGTCAGCTTCTATATCCAACTTCCGGTTATTCTATGCATGTTTTTGACCTGGAAGTTTGTAGTCAAGAAAACGAAGTTTGTCAAGCTGGAGGAGATGGACCTCTTGACCGATAGATATGAGGAGGCTCGTGTGGCTGGCGCGGCTGATCTGGGCGCCTCTTCTGCTGTGGAAGTTGCGGATGGTCCCAATAATAAATGGCAGAATAAACTCAAGAGGGCTGGGCAATGGGTATTTTTGTGATTTTCAACTGAATATATTTTGTTTTTGTCTTTTTTACACATATATTTTGGATCTGAGCTACGCACATACCTGCTTGGGCTTGCACTTCCGGGACTAAATAACATTCCGCTACCTAATGAGCAGATGATCAATATATAGATATATATAGAATATTTGTATATACTATTTAAGCTCATGATAAACATTAAGTGGCTGAACTTCAGAATGTATGTACATGTAAAGGACAGGAATCTGGATATCTACTTGGTAGCAACAAGGGGAAAGAGAGGCTGGACAACATGCCAAACGCAGTCAGATATTAAACAAGTTAAAGGTATCACTTTATCATAAATCCAAATGCTTCTTTCCTCGTTCATGCGGGTTGGGTATAAACTGACATAAGGGAAAAGAAAAGGAAGACATGGTATTCGCAAAAGAAAAAGAAAATGGAATTTCAAAAGTCAAAGGCAACGCAAATCAAAAAAGTAACGAAAAGGAAACCTTGAGCCTAAAATCAAAATAGGGGAAATAAAAGAAAAATGAGAAAAAAATGAAAAATAAGGTAAAGGGAGGGAGGGAGGGAGGGAGGATATATAATTAGGTGGGGGACTGGGTAGGTTTTATGGAAGTTATTGAAGGTTAGAAGGGTACAGTTCGGGGCAATCATATTAATCATTGACCATCTCGCCCAATTCCATCCTCAGGCGCTTGGCGGGTCTGTTGTCCTCTTCCTTCTGGCTGTCTTCTATTGGAGTTTGTAGTTGATCAGCCGGTGCTTTTTGTAGTCCCGTGGTGCGCAAAGGGGGAAGAGACACCGGCGAAGTAGGGGAGACGTGTGTAGAGTTGCTGAGCACGGATCCACGGCGGTATGGAGAAAGAGGATTTGAAGAATCGGAGGTAGAAACTATGCGGTCAGATGCCGTGGGATGGTGTCGTTGTTCCGTTTCCAGCCATGGCAATGAGGGAAATCTTCTAGGCTGTGCAACCTCCTTTGGAGGCGGAATATCTGAGCTTCTACCCAAAATAGGAGGAAGTTTAAAAGAGGCTAACCCTTGATCAGAGGGCTGATAGCTGGCTGGCCAGCTTCCAGATGGCCCGGGGCTTGAGAATGAGGACGAGTCAGTAGGGCTTCTTGGTTTATAGGCCATATGTGGCGAACACGACGCCCGTGGTCCCTCCCCTGGAAACGAGTGCATTGGCGATAGGCGGCCCATTTGCCTTTGTACTTGGCATTCCCGAGGCTGATAGTCATGAGTGGGAGCCTGGGGTGTTGGCTGTTGCCCACTCGATGCCGGCCGCCGTGCAGGCACATTACCAGCTGTAAAGGGGGATGGAGATGGCAAGATCGGAGGTGTCCACATTGGAGGCTGCATAGCAGTTGTTGGGCTCGATCCAATTCTCCGTTCTCCTTCATTCGATGGCCCCCCATGGGCGTGGTTGAAATCTGTGCTGGGTCTGATTTCTCTGGATGATGGATTTCTCTTATGCCCTCGAGCAGGTCCCAGAGGGGCCGAAGGGTGTTGCGACACTCTCAGAATTCCTGGTTGTCCGAAGGTTGACTCGTATGTACGAATAGGGCCCTCTTCTGCCTTCAAAGGAGGCCTACCACGGCGCTTATGGGTAACGTCTACACACGATTCCTACAAGGGCCGGTCAGTCAATATTTGGGCTAAGGACGTTTTTATGGATTTATACTGATGGCCAAAACGTACCTCTTTACCTGCAACGACGCATCGCCGGCAAGGCCGTGCAGAATCACATCCTAGATGTTTTCGTTTGCAATTGACGCAAGCAGACGCAACATGAGCTTTTGCCCGGCGTGTTGACCGCGGAGGAAGTGTCGTCGTACGTGTGGAAATGGGATTCGGCGCTCCGAATGCCGGTAGTAGATGTGGCGGACGAATATCATTCACCGACGGAAGCCCATACTGCTGATTTGACATTTGCGACTGTCTCGGGTCGTGGACTGCGCGATCTATCCCCTGTCCGCCGACCATATGATGGCCTTGATAGTCATGGTGCGACTCAGGATATTTCAAGTTTGATGTTGGAGAGCTTGGTCGTCCTGAATATCTTAGTCCATGAGAGAGGTCAGATCTAAATTCTGGAGGCGGAGAGCCTGACATAGGCGGGGAGAGATATGGACTTCGACAGCTGCTCGAATAGCGGGAGTCCGATACGCTGAGATTTAAGGAGAATCTTAGCGGATCTGACCCTGAGCGATGGGGCTGTCCGAAGGTGTCGTTAGGGAAGAATCGGGCAGAAGGTAGGCACTGCATTAGGTAGATCGTTGAAGTGCAGGTTCCCTAGGTCTTAGTAAATGCGCAACCCAGCAAACCGAAATAGGATTATGAATCGTCGAGAGGAGCTGTTCGAGTTCCGTCGGGTAAACGTGTCGTTAACGAGATATGTCCCTTGTGTTCAAAACTCGGCCTGCCTTAATCATAGCGATCAAAATTTCCGAACCAGCAAGCAGTTGTTCAACTTTGGCACCAGGATAACAATCAAACCGGCCTGGTGGCTTGTATGGATCGCCTGAGTTGTAACGTTGATAGCGAGGAACGGGGGGTAGGGATATATTGCCTCACTGGCCTTGACAGCTTTCTTATATCCTGTTCTCGACTGTCGAAGTTGCAAAAAGCAAGAGATTGATGAGGCAGAGCGTGGGTATAAAGTAGGGAAAGAATATGGCGGTTTAGAACACGTCGAATGGAACCAGGTTTAACTTCACGGATAGGCTTCCCGTAGGTAGGGTGTATGTAAGTACGTTGTTGATGGATCAAAGATGACGTCTGTTACAATTCCCAGAAGTGTTGCCAATGGAAAAAGAGAAGAAATATCCCAGGACAGAGTCGAGTGTGTGTGTATTGAGTTCAATGATCAACGGATCGGGTGTGACCATCAAAGAGCAATGCAAGGTTGCCGCCTCTGCCTGTCCGCGTATGATCCAGAAAGGGCAAACTTGGGGACTTCGGTGCAAGGGAGCGGTGAAGGCACAACTAAAGGAGATGGGTGTTCTGGAATGTATACGAAAGCAGCCAACGGTGCCAAGTGAGAAGATATAAGGGGGGAGGGAGGGAGAAGAGAGGAGGGAGGGGAGAGAGGAAGAGGAAGAAAAAAGAACGAGATCAGACAGGATGAAGCAGCTGTATTAAGTGGTGGAGGTGGTGGTAGTTTGTAGAGTCGCAATAAGCCTGCAGCATGAAGGGTCAGGGGTCTGGCAGGTTATGGGCGGCGTTAAACGTAACCTAAAAAATTCCGGCTGAATGAATTAATTAAGCATTATTAAGATAACCCTCCAATGCAAAATTGCGGTCTTCGAAGAACGGAGCCCGATTGTGCTGGACCTGGCCGTTTATCAATTCTTTTTTAAAGCGCGAGAATGATGGCTGATACAAGGAGGTATGATAGATTCCGTCACTCTGGGTGCAATGGAGAATCTGTAGGCACGCGGGACCCTTAAGAAGTACCGAGAATGAAGAACTTCCAATTGTTCAATGCAGATAGATACCCTATGGCAAGAAGAGTGATCGTGAGCCAATCTCCGCTGGTGGAGTAGGCTGCGTGTGGGGTCGTCTTTTTCTTTTGAAAAGGAAAAAAAAAGGGAAGAAGAGATGAAAAAGCAAGTTGCATCTGGGTGTCACCATCGTGATGCTTTCCTAGAAGAACCGTAAATCAGAGTTGGGAGGGTCTTGGACCGCAGGAGAATTGCAAAACTCATTGCCAACAGGAAATACGCAGCCAGGGGATATTCATCACGCTGCACATCGTATCCGCAGTGGATAGCATGGCCTGTGCAGAACGACATGGGAACGATATCCACGGGCAAATAGTGGTGATGGCGAAGGGGAAGCGAGGTACCGTTACTAGTGGATTTTATACCGTGGATCACCCACCTGGCATAAAATCGTGGGCGATATTATCAGGTCTCCTCTTTCTTTCTTGACATCCCACCACCTTGAGTCAGGATAGGCGCTAGTTTGAGTTCGCTTGCTTGGGCCTGATCTTCATGCTGGTCGATCAGAAAATAATATATGTCTGTCTGTCTGCCAGTCGTAGTCGTTTTGCATCAGCCAGGGGACAAGTAAGAAAGCAGGGATCATATGATAAAAGCACAGCGCCTGGATAATCATGATTGGTACAGAAATTCTGTGTGAAATCGAACAAGGCTTCTTTTTTTTATTTTATTTCATGTCTTCTTACGGTTATCCAGTATATCTTCTGCATACTGCCCAATAAGGGGCTCAAATTATTGAGGGCAGCAAGCCATCCGCCCAATGAGTAGCCAGAAATCCCCTCGATATGTGATCCTTTGGTGGCAAAGAGCTGGAATGTTTTGCCTGGTTCGCAATTATTTTCATTTTTGAGATTCCTAGTTTCCATGTCAGCTAATCAGCCCGCAGAGAAATGGGTGGTGGCTTGCATGGTTCAGCGATGATGAATATAAGCCGAGAGCGTCCCCTTCACACAGTCAGTACTCTGTGCCTAAGTACTCCGTACATAGAGTAACAGCGTGTGTTCTGACGGACTGGCGTAACCAGACAAGACGTGCTCTGTGGAATCGAGGGTGATTGCCGCTCGCTCCACTCCGTCAATCGGCGCCGGAAACATGAAACCTGGGAGCTGCAGAGGCAGGCTGCGCTGCCCAGCACGCGAGATCTTGACCTACACCGTCGCCTACTCGGACGAGTCGTGCTGGGCCGTCGACGGCGCTGCGATGTACCGGATACCGCGAGGTTGGCGGCTGGCGAAGTTGACGTTGAAGTTGACGTTGACTTTTCCTCCTTTTGACGTTGGAGCGTTTCCCGTTTCGGAAGCGCCTATTGTTCCGCCTGTGCTACAACGGCGACGACGCCAGAAGAAAACATATCAAGAGCCAGCGCAACCGCGCAACAGAGCTATCACCATCCACGGCGGTGCAGAAGGATAGACAGCGTGAAAAAGAAACGCCGATAGTATTATTCTACGCTGTGCCCCTGCGTGCTCGAACCCTTCAATGCGAGACAAAAGAATACCCCGGG